TATAAGCCAGAACTTCCTCCTCATCTCCCATGGTCATATGGATCACATTGTAAGTCCAACTCCCTCTCACCGCTTCATTTTTCAACTTTCTCATTGTCGTCTGAGCTTGTTCCCATGGCGTGAGACCTCACGGTCACTACGCTTAGTAGATGCAATAACTTGTGCAGCAGAAATATCGAAGTGAAATTACATGTGGTTTAGGGCTTGAAGTCTAGTCATTACCTGTGGTTCTGCTGCAGCTATCTTCAATTCAAGTATCTATTTAAGATTTGAATCTAATTTTACCTTCCCGACGTTGTTGGGAAGATCTTATAAAATTCAAATCAAACATCGATCGCATTTCGAATGTAAGCTTTTTCGCGTATTGTTCATCTGCAGTTTACCTGTAGCTTTTGTGCTTAATAGGGGGGACTTCCCTTATACGTAGCTACGCGTGGATTATACAAAATGGAGCCTCCTACAATCATTGTACCAAAATCTATAAAGAATGATGTAGAAAATCTCTTAGAGGTGCACAGAAGATTGGATCAATCTGAGCTGAGATGTAATTTGATAGGCTTGGAAGTGGGTAGTGCCCCTTATTGAATCTTCTTATGTTGTCCAATGAATAATTTGGTCACTTTTTGCCCAAATTTCGTGTTGCAGTTTAATACATTCTTCCATTCATATATATTGTTTGCAGGAGAAGAGTTTTCATTGAGAAGAGACCTCAAAGTGAGGGCTTTTAAGACATACCATGTCATTGACAGCCAGGTAACCTATTTAATGCACATATACTTTGATGATTTGGTTTTTTTTTTTTGTGTCCAAAATTTACAGCCAACTCCTACACAATAACTTTGGCAGGGCTATTTACTTTACTCTGTAAAACAGAAGCTTAAGAAAGAGTACTTGGGACTACCTGGCAACGAGATCAAGAAACTCCGGTTATCTGGTGTGGAGGTCTGTCCTTGACTGTCAAATTCATAGATTTCTTGGAACACATCCATTTTGAAAACTTCATTTTTATACACTCCGTCTATGCAAAAGCCTATAGTGGCCTCCCTGGCAGAACAATTTACCTAGAAATTTGTGAGATTTATCACTGGTGGGTGACCCGAAGAGTTTGAATCCACGATCATTTGGTTGAATTCAGGACTTTTCCACTATGTTTAAGCCTTAAATTTCTACTTGTTTATAATTTAACAAAGTTTGACGTTTTCCTTTGATTATGATTTTTCTTTCACGCGTTTCCCCATTCATTAAAATTCTCCTCAAATGCATAACTATCTTGGTTGTTTTTATTTGTGCCAGGTTACTTACACAATTACCGATCCTGAAGTGGCTTTTACAGGTGATACCACGTCCGACTTCATAGTTGATGAAAATAATATTGACGTATTGAGGGCAAAGATTCTAGTTATGGAGGTCTGGTACTTGAAGCCTGCACATTATATGACAATCTTATTTTCCTCTAACTTTTGTTCAAGTATTTTTATTTTAATTGATTTTGAAATCATTAAAAACATGTTGTCCAGTGATTTTGAAGATTTTGAATGTGATAAAAGTGATTTTAACCATTTCAAATTAAATATGTTCATTGTAGATTGGGCTTGGGGGTAGGTTGAGATTGGGAAGAAAAATGGTGTAGGTTATTATTTTGGGAGGGTGGGTTCTATTGGGGTTTAATCCTTCATGCTGCACAACCATTCTTCTTTGCAGAGCACATTCCTTGAAAATAGAGTTACAGTGGAGCATGCAAGAGAGTACGGACACACTCACCTGTTTGAGGTTTTCGTTCACTCAGCATTGTAACACCTTCTATTGCTGTATTCATTCAGCAACTTATATCTTATATTTTTACATCCTAATGTTCTTTTTATGTTGATGATCCATCCATCCCAGATAATAAACCATGCCGAGAAGTTTAAGAACAAAGCGATTCTTATGATTCACTTTTCAGCTCGCTACACTACAGAGGTACTTGGATGCCAATTTATTGGTATCTCTAGTTCATCATGCTTTTAGTTAGTTTACTGGTGCAGTCCTTATACGAGGGGACATCATCTTCTTCCCACTTACATTTTTTTAGAGAGGATTTCAGAGGATAACAAGTCTCAAGTTGCTCTTCTGGTTTGTTTTTGTACGTTCAGAAGGGTCTAAGCTAAATACATTTTCTGCTTTTTGGTTAATCAGGAAATTCAGCAAGCCGTAGCTACTTTACCTCCACCTTTAGCAGGCCGAGTTTCTGCGCTAACGGAAGGTTTTTGAGAGAGGTATTTAGAAGAGTTCCGGAAATCATTTTGCCCAGTTTTATGGTTGTTACAGCAATCATTCAGTTCATGTATACTTCTTTTTTAGTTGTTTTATTGTGAATTTTCATGATTTGTTTCCATAAATGATTTATTTTTACTGTCAAAATGATGTTGATGCTTTCCAATTGGGCCATCTGTATTTTTGTTAGGGAAAATTCAAAATCAAACTCTTGATACATTTGAGGATATTAATTGAATTAGCTCCTGCAGTTTTACGACTGTCAGTGAAGCTTATATGCGTTACTTAAATATTTTAAGTAGATACCATGTTATTCAACTTCATTATTTTAACAAGTAGAGGGCACAATTTGAATTCAAAACCAAAATATTGAAAAATGGATGGCTTTGCTCAAAAAAAGAAAGAAAAAAAAGGACGTCAATTCATGAGTTATGCTATAATTCACACACTATCTGCAAAATTATAACTTCAATCAACCCATATTAGGAACACAGAATACAACACTTTATCTAAACTGTGAATAGTTTCCTTGCAAATACCATTAAAGTACACCTCAATATTAAATCACAAGCCGTCCGTATCACCCAGGAGACCGATTAACAGAAACCAGGAAAAAGAAAAAAAAAAAAACTTAGCATTGGTAAACCGAAAGTGTTTTCACACGTTTTGTTTTTTCTTTTTTTACTCTCTAAGAAAAAGCAGTTTACAAAAACGTCCTCCAAATAGCCTTCAAAGTTGCTGTATAGTTGCGCTCAAATAAACCATGAACACATCTTACACCTCAGTTCTCAAATTGTCTGCTACATTAGCGACAACGCAGCAAAGTTTCGATTCCAAGGCTAGAGAACTAACCAATTCCTCCATGGATTTCAGCTCCTCGTGAAAATCTGGATGCAATACCAATGAAGAAAAGTTCTCGTCCAGCACTAGTCCAAGATATCTGACGACATCATCAAGCTTGGGAACCCAATCACAAGCCTTCAAACCCAACACAGTAGCTGCTTTTGGACAAGAAACTGCTTGAGGAAATCTCTCATATCTCTTTAACCATTTTCCCAGATATCGAATCAAACAAATCATCTCTTCATGATTCAACTTATTGAGGGCAGAAGAAAGAATGACTTCATCAAGATTGGGTGATGCCAACAGATAATGCAAACACAGTTCCTCGGTTGAGAACCCATCATATGCTACCATGAGCTGAATTGCAGCCTCCTTTGCCAGATTGGACTTCTTGTCTTTGAGACTTTTATCACTCGCCTTCTCAATGGCTAGCAATGCCTGATCCTCCCATTCCTTCCTCACATTAGGCATACTGGCATAAGCCTCTTTGGAAAGGCAAAGAAAGTACTTCAAAATGCAATGCAAATCAGCAGGACCAAAATCTGATGCTTGCTTGATACAAAGACAAAGTAAGTCTGACCTCTTCTTCGCCACAAGTTTCAAAATCAAATTTGAATAAGATGCGTGTTTAACAAGTCTATTGACAACAAAAGTCTCCACCAATTCCCATTCCTCTAAAGCAATACATGTATCCAAAACCAAGTTTCCAATGTCTTCACTCATCAGGAACCCAAGTTTCTCAATCAGAATCTTAGTGTAACGATTGTCGGATGAACTAACACCAACAACAATTCCGACCGTTTCCCTCACTTTTTCAAGAAACACATTTAAAATCTTTATAAACTCAGGCTTTGAAAAGTTTCGGTTTTTCAGCTTCAGCTTGAGATTTTCGTGGAATTTTTTCCCCAAATCAATCACCTTGGAATCGGTTTCAGATATTTTCCACCCAATAATGGGATTGACAAGAGAAACAGGATCTGGTTCATCTACTTTGGATTTCAAACTGGTTAGAATATCGTCTGGATTGAGGAGAATGGGGTAGTCAGACCGGGAAGCAAGAGGTTCGGAGGAGACGGAGGCTTGCTTGATGACTTCAAGTAATGTCATGACTAAATTTCAAAACAAAACAAGTTGTAATCTACCTGCAGCAAAAAAATAAGTTAAGTTATGAAGTCTAAATTCTCTGTAATATCTAAACACAATGTTTCATCCTAATTCCTAAATTCTTTGATAATTGATAAAATCCATTCAATTCTTAACAAGAACAGACTCTGCGTAACTTATACTCTGTTTGGTTTTAATATATAAAATTTGAACTTCGGTCAGTTCTAATCCTCTTCCTTTTCTTCTCGTTAAGGTTGAACTTCAAATTACAGCAGACCTACTTTTAAATTCACCCCATTTTGAAATTGGTTGAACCGAAGAGACAAAAAAGAACAAAAAGAAAAAAAAAAAAAAAAGATCGGGACAGACCTTAACGTCAAGTGACTGAGAGATGAAGGGGGTGCGGTAGAAAAGGGATTTTGGCGAGGCGACGTACGGCGGTGCCGGCGACAACGAGGGAGATAAGAGAGAAGAAAGAACAAAGTAATTAAGTGGGGGGAAGAAGAGCCGTAGGGTTTAGGGTTTTTTCTTTTAATGTGTGCAAGAAAGGAAAGCCCCAAAATCAGATCAGAGACAATGTAACTCAATCGAAAACAAAAAAGAATTTGAAAGTTAACAAACCTCGAACTGCTGCTCACGGCGGAGAGAAACGACGGAATCGGAAAGGTAAGCCGTAACCCTAATTAAGCAGAAGGAAGAGATAAATTTGGCGCCTCCGTTGAAGGAGCTTCACTTGTTAACAGATGGGCTGGGCCTTAAGCCCATAATAAAAAAGCCCAAAAAAAAAAAAAAAAAAAACCGACTATCGCACTCCATCTTCTCCCTTTATGTGGATTCGAAGTCAAAATTCTCTAGCGGTTCTCCATTCTCTCTTGGCTGGATCTCTCCATTGAGTTGCAGACTGGTAAATTTCTGCACGTTCTTCAGATTTTATAGTTTTTACTCGATGCAGCTGAATTTTCATAGATCATGAGGGCTTTTTTTTTTTTTTTTTTT